GTAGCGCCCAGAGTGGATCCTCCCCGGCAGCCAGAGCTTTACGCCAGAGGTTTTTGATCGTGCGAACTGCATTTTCAGCTTTGCCATTAGCCTGAGGGTACTTGGGACTGGAGGTGCGGTGTTCTATGTCTAACTGGCGCATAAAATCCGCAAACTCAGCACTCGAATACTGTGGTCCGTTATCGCTGACTAGAACCTCTGGAAATCCAAAACGAGCAAAATGCACAGACAGGGCACGAATTACTTGAGCCGACGAAAGGCAGGGCAAACGATCAACTTCCACGTAGTTACTGTAGTAATCCACTAGCACGGAGTATGCCTGGCCATCCAGTTCAAACAGATCCGTCGCAAGTACCTGCCAGGGACGACTGGGCACGTCATGTGACTGTAACGGCTCCCGAGGAGGCGAGGGTCGGTGCGCGAGACAGACAGGACACTTGAGGATAATCTCGCGTAGCTGGGCCTGCATCCCTATCCAGAACACGCTTTCACGCGCCAGCCGTATGATAGAAGCCAGTCCGATGTGACTGCGGTGAAGCTGAGACAGTACCTCTCGTTGTTGACTGGCTGGGACTACTAGACACCGATACTTGAAAATTAGACCTCCCTGAACCGTAAGTTCGTCGCGAAATGGGTAAAAACACCTGACAATCTCAGGAACCGCGTCACGGCGGTCAGGCCAGCCGCTCTGAATCTGAGCCATAAGGGCAGACAGTATCGGATCGGACGCTGTCGCTGCACGGATAAGCGCCAGCCGGCTCGGAGACACTGAAACTCCCTGACTTAAATCTACCGTCTCCAGCTGGAGAGCAAAAACGTCCGGGGTCAGCGGCAGAGACGCCCGACTGAGGGTGTCAGCGACACACAGCTGGCTGCCGGGCTGGTAGGTGATCGTGTAGTCGTAGCGCTGAAGGGTCATTAGCATCCGCTGAAGGCGGAGCGGCGCGTCACCTAGCGGCTTCGATTGAATGGCCACCAGTGGTTTGTGATCAGTGACCACAGTGACGGGGCGCGCGTACAAAAACTGGTCAAGACGAGTGAGTGCAAATGTGATGGCGAGCAGTTCTTTCTCGATTTGCGAATACGCCTTTTCAGCCGTTGTGAGCGCGCGTGAACAGTAAATTACAGGCTTCCCTTCTTGCAATAGACACGCTCCGAGACCAGACATAGAAGCATCGCACTGTACCGTCGCTTCCCGTCGGGGGTCGTAAAAACTCAGCACCGGAGCCGAGGTAAGCAGACATATAACGCGATCGAACGCCCTCTGACACGACTCGCTCCAATACCACTCAACTGAACGCTGAGTCAGCTGCCGGAGTGGGGCCAGCACAGATGACATGTTCGGCAGGAATCGAGACAGGTACCCGACCATGCCCAAAAAACGTTTTAGCTCGGGCACCGAGGTCGGCACCGGGAAGTCTGTTATAGCCCTAACACGGGCCGGGTCGCACTTCAGGCCCTCCTTACTCAAGATGTGTCCCATCCATTTGACGGATCCGACTTTAAATCGGAACTTATCTGGGTTCAGACGCAAGTTCCGCTCCGCGGCCCGTCGGAGGAACCCTCTGAGATTGGCGTCGTGGTCCTGCTCAGTCGTACCGAAGATGATGAAGTCGTCGGCGATCACGTCAACCCCTGGCAAGCCCGCGACGAGGTCGTGCATTGTGCGCTGCCAGACTTCCGGGGCTGATTTAATGCCATAAGGCAGGACCTCCCACCTGTACCTGCCGAAGGGTGTGTGGAATGTACATAGCCTGGCCGCCTCATCCGTCAGCCCGATCTGCCAGAAAGCCTGACTGGCATCGACAACTGAGAAAATTTTGGCCTCACTGAGCCGGGTTGTGACCTCATCCAGAGTAGGGGTAGGGTAATGCTCGCGCTGAATAGCCTTATTGAGGGACTTGGGATCTAGACAGAGGCGGAGATCTCCGTTTGGTTTGTCTACGATTACCAGGTTAGATACCCATGGTGTGGGCTCGGTCACAGGAGATATCAGTCCTTGGGCGACGAGGTCATCCAACTTAGATTTCAGTTGGTCCCGGACATGGACACGAACACGGCGCGGGGCCTCCGCGACGGGACTGATCTGGGGGTCTGTGACAATGTTGTACTCAGTGACGACTCGACCCGGCTTAGACACATCAAATACCTGCTCAAACTCGGACATGACCCCAGCCCGAGTCAGACCCTCGGTCGAGCCCATGTCAGCAGACACTCGGGGAACGTAATCGAGCGGGTCGACATCTTTGACATCTATCAGACCCAAATCGACAGACGATAGCAGGCTAATGATGGGCAGCGCGTCATGACCAATCACTCTACAGTTGAGCGTGACCTTCTGGCCCGATGAGGGGTTCACAAGACACAGGTTGGCCTTACCTAGTGTGCTCACAAGTGTGCCATCATACATACGGAGAGCAGAGACACTAGACCGCAAAAACTGGTGCGATACATCACCTGTGACACGCTCATAGTCACTGAGCGACACGATGTTACACTCGGAGCCAGAGTCGACCAGGAACCGCAGGGGCTCGCCCGACGGCGATGTAAGCGTTTTAAATACACGAGGAGATACCTGGATATCTGAATCTGGCGCCTGCACTACATTCACAGCATATAATGGGGCCCCCCTTTCTGTGCCCACCTGTTCCGCATCCTGGTCTGCTTGTTCAATTGCTGCGACACCGTCCCGGTCCCGTCGTCCACCTCCAGCACGGGTCGCAGAGCGCAGTCCCCGGTCGCCGGCCACCGGGACCGGTGGCGCCACAGAGCGAGGCGGCAGGCGGCTGTCGTTACGCCGCTGGCCGGTAGAGGCGCCACCACTCCGTGTTGTGACGCCCGAGAAGCCGCCATCTTGGCCTCTGGGCGACAGGGGGCGGGCGCCGGCGGGCCGGCCGCAGCACGCCGAAAAATGGTTTCGGCCACCGCAGGCGTGGCATGACTGTCCCCACGCTGGGCACGAGGACCGTTGCATCACGTGAACTCGGGCACAGAACCGACACCGACTCACAGCTGGGGCCGGGGAGGGCTGAGAAATCGCGCTCACCTCACTGGGATTCAGCACATCACCAGTAGCACTCCCGGCACTCCCCATGCACTGCTGGTCACGCCGTGAGGCCTCCTCAGACAGGGCGATGTCCACTGCGGCCGTTAACGTGAGATCGGCCTGTCGGAGTAGGGCACGTTGGGTGGCGCGATCGGCGACACCGATCACCAGCCGATCACGGATCATATTGTCCGGGTCCGGGAACTCACACGTCACGACCAAAGAGCGCAGAGCGGCGAGGAAGGTCGTGATGCTCTCGCCCGGCTGCTGGACACGGGCATGAAAGTTATAGCGCTCCAACACCACGTTGCGGCGCGGATTGCAATATGCCTCAAACTTTTCCAACAGTGGCGGCAAGCCATCAGAGTCCTGCCACTGAAAATGAGAGGCCACTTCTTGGGCGCCGATGCCTGCATAGTTCAAAAAAGTTCCCACTTGTACCAAGACAGGTTTCTCAGCCAGCTCCTTAGCCGCAGCGTAGTACTTCCAATCTCTGCTGAATCGCGCCCATTCGGCCGCCATGTTGACGGCCGAAAAATTCAGCTCTGTCGGAGCGCGCAAATTCATCTTGAATAATCGCAAAAATAATCGAACGAACGAATCGAACGAACAGGAAGACCAATCAGGGCGATAATTCGGCCACTTCTGACACCATGTCACGAGTCCTAATAGCCGTGAAACCGTAAAACACAGAGAACCAGTAGCGAGCAGCGCGCCGGTCAGCCGCTAACCGCTTGTTTATTGTATCAAGGTCAGTCGGACGAATGACGTCACACACTGCTAGGATCGGCCGCATGACGTCACACACTGCAAGGCACGCGCAATACATTTGCACAACGTCACACTTCTACCTACCTGTAGGTACCTACTTCTCTTTAGGTGAGGTCACTTCACTACTAACATGGCCGTTTTACCCGACCTGAGATGAGATGACCTACGAAAAATATAAAGAAATTCAAACAATTTAGAAGTCGCTTGGTGTATTTAACATTATAGTATTTAAAACACTATTCATTAAAAAATTATTCAGGCAAATTTGTTGGATGTTGGACCCTTTTACGCCGGCCACGCTATCCCCGGCCGCATCGAGTGACGTCGCGAAGTGGGTGTGGTCAGAGGCCAGGCCATCACACGGTGTGTGCCTGGCCGCCGTACCTCCTGCCCGGGGGCACACGGCGCGGGCAGCCGGCCAGCAGGGGACCGTCGGGCAGTGTCGGTGCCGGCACCGCGCCGGACCGCCCTCCCCTCCCCTGCCCAGCGGGGCGGGGAGGGGGGGGGGGCGGAGCGGCGCCGGGCGGGCCGCCGCCGCCGCCAGCCAGTCGGCTCAGGCCCATGTCGTCCCCTATCTCTCTGCGTGTCCACTAACACGAATGACGTCACGCATGTGGGCGGAGCTATGGGCGGAGCCTAACGCACGCGGCAGTCCAAGCCGCCATATTTGAATTTATATTTTAATAGAATCTTGCCGATATTTTGGGTGAAGTCAATTTATATGGATAGCTTGGTGACAGTTTAGCTATACGAATAATAATTTATTATGGATGTGCGTATATTCAGCTTGGAATTGCAATTAAAGTTCCGCACCGCATAGATTCGAACTCGGGACCTTTGGAATACTGCGCGGGCACGCTAACCACTACACTACCACGACCGCGCGGCGGCCGGCGGCAGGGAGGCTGCGGAGACATGGGGGGACATTTTACGCTTTTGTGAAAAAAGCAAAAGATTTAGCGAAAAACACGTAATAGATAACTTGCAGAAAATTGTCTGCTCTTTTAGATAAGATACTTAAGTTTGATATATCTTGTGCAGACTTCATTCTACAGTGCTTCGAAAATCGCTCATTTACATGGGGATTGAACGGGACTTCGAGACTTGACTCCAAATGACGTCACGAGCTGACGTCACGAAAAGGTAGAATCGCCGGACGACCCTACCTGGTATATAGGGCCTTGAGTCGGCTGTGTTGTGCTGCGGCGCTCGCAGGCGTCCTTCGCTCGCGCCGGGCGAGGCAGGCCGTGGTCGGCGCCGGTGCACTCTAGACTGGGAGCGGTCGGCGGGGCAGCTGAGCTGGCCCGGGCGGTCACCCGGAGCCGGCGGATGTGCAGCGGGCCGGCCTCTGTTGTCAGCCGGAGGAGACTGGAGTGAGACGAGCGCACTTCCTCAGCTGTCTAACACAGGTAAACGGCGCTGCGCCGTGTAACCGCAGGCAGACGGCCCCTGCCCCCCCCCCCCTCCCCGCAGTGAGTGCGACGTACGGGTATCTGTATAAAATTTCACCCGTTCGCCCCGCTGGTTTCAGGAAACTACGATATGTTCCTGAAGACCCAAAGTCTTTCTTGCAGTCCATTTCAATTTAACCCGCTCCCCAGTGTCAGTCTGGATTTGCCACGACCTGGTGTGTGGGGGGGGGGTGTTTGAACACCCCCCCCTTCTAACTCGGCTCCTGGGCCACGTAGCGACACTCGGTAAGCGGCAATCGAAAGAACGTCAAAAATAAGGACGAAAACACTTAGGTCATTTTTTGGGTCAGGTCAAAGGTCAGGTCACCAGAGGTCACCAAAGGAAAAATGTTGACTATTTCAACATTTTGGAAACTGCCAACGGCTATCTCGGGAACCGATAGAGCTACAGCGCCGCGGAAAAGCGCATTCGATAGCCCTTTTACAGACCTTTCTTGAAAGGTCAACTTGAAAATTTGACCTCAGGTCAAGGTACTCATGACCTGACCGGAAAAGGTCATGTTGCATATCAGTCGATCCGCAACGTTGAGCCAAACACATCTAAGGCGTTTTCAGCGCTCTAGCACGCCTCTATCAGAAGTTATTAGCGAAAAACTGTTAGATTCTGTTCGTGACCTGAGATGACCTCGGGGACATAACGAGGGGTCACAGTTGCCATTTTCCGGTTCAGTGTGTCAATTTTACCTACATCTCGATGTTTGAGAGTGTCTAGAATAGCGTTCGTGCAAAACAAACGCTTTTCAATTTTCTCCCATTGACTTATAATGGAGAGGCCGCAAAATTGACCTGACCTTAGGTCACCGATATCAAAATTCCGAGATATACATTTTATAGATACTGTTACCCTCATCAATCGCTGAAAGTTTCGAAGTGATCGGTCACTCGGTGTAGCTATGGCAGACATTGAAACTTTTTTATGAGGTGAGAGTGTCTAGAATAGCGTTTGACCCCCTATTGACCTGACCTTGAATGACCTTGGTCTGAAATTTTCACAACATGTGTAGAATTGATGTATGATAAGTTGTATCAAAAACGGCGGCGCTCCGCGTCGCCGTTTTTGAGATATCTGCGAAAAACCGAAAGGGGGGTGTTCAAACACCCCCCACACTTGGGCGCGGGTTAACTCGGGTCGTAGTATGCAGGCATGGGGAAAATGTGAAATGTCTTGCAAGTAGATGCCTTGAAACGACACGACACTACGTGTCCTTTGGTGCGGCCTTTGCGGTGCTATACAGTAGATATACGTGCACGATTCGTAAGCAATAAGCATGGGATGGGCGTAAGATTTGACTCATGATCAGACAATGGGGCGTAAAGGTCTAGCAGCTTTACGTACGCTATTTTAATTTTAAATAGCCGGCCCTTTTGTCCCTGACTATTTTAGTTGGTAGGTATAAGTGCACCCGATGCTTAGACGCCAGATAGTCATTAAAACACCTTTAGGTACATTTTTCTGACACCTAATTTGCTATTCATTGCTGAACATTTCGATTTATTACCGAGCGACGCGAACCGTGTCTTATGGCCGCTTGAGTAGATACGGGAAGATATAGGGCTACTACCGGGCAAAAAGGCTCCAAGGGGAGCTATTTTCTCTTCTCAGACTTCATATGCTATTTTTTTCAGACAGAGTCATCCTCATCTCCTTTACCCAGATTCTGAGGTTCCAAAGATAAAATGGAACCTATGTCAGGGGCTGGTCACTGGTCGGGGCTGCACTTATCCAGGCCCATGTATTGGTATATGGATTCATTTAGACGGTTTGCTTGGGAACTGTCAGATGCCGGGGAGCGGCTCGAGGCTATCGGTCCGAACCATATAAACAACCATAGTTGTTTTCTTTTCAACAGATTCTGAAGTTTGACTGGAATGGAAACTGCTAAGTAGGTATACGTCGCAGAAGATAATGCTAATGCATGCTGTTCAGCGAGGAGGTCTTGAAAAGCGGGACGACCTCAGTCAAGAAACTTTGCGAAACGTGAACAAATCGGCCAAGATTTGTGCTGGCGAAGTTAGCGACCCGGCCTTTGATAAATGCATAAATGATTTGACCCATACCAAAAACGTGATTTTTGCGTGATTTTTGTCAATCTGCCTCTTAACCAGTGGCCTAAACAATGTGTCGAATTGAGGAATTGGGTTCTACTTAAATGGTGTATGCATAACTAGGTACCCCTTTCTTGTTTCGTAAATTAAAGAATGCAATTTAGGTACTGGAAAGTGCAGACGTTGCATACCTATATTAGGTAGTCAATTATGCATTCATAAGACATATGCAGCATGCACTAACGATGAATGATAGGTATTAACTAGGTACCTACATTTAAAACAAGGGCCTGTTATGTAGGTACCTTTTAATTAAGTACTCAGTGCGGATGAATTTGTGCGCACACTAAAACTAGACGGTAGTCACTACTAGTGGTCCTTGCTTTGGAATATACCTACCTACATGTGCGCCATTGAGATATCGAATCTAATTTCATTTGCAATCTCCCTGCAGCGCAAGACTTCGTTGTTATTAGGCTTGCAGCTGAGCTTTGTATGCCTTGGGATAACTCGGCCGTTTCATCTTGGGTTTGATAAAACTACTTTGACGCATTTGAGCTAAAATGTTAAAAGCCATACCGTGCTGCTTATCAAATGTATGCACATTTTTAAGGTATAATAGATTTATGTGACATTTTCATATTTACTCTACCAGCTAAATAGCCGGAGCGAGGAACGGCTGACGGGCTGACTATTGTTTTGTAAAGCTAGCGTGAACCGAGGCCGACGAGAGTTTCAATGTACATACCTCCCGGCATCATTCTATCAAACTGCATGCCATGGCCATCACTGTCTAGCGAACCATGTTGCATGCATACTGACATGCACGAGAGAGGGGTTGTATCAGGGATATCGTGGTCCTTCCAATGCCGCTCATTGTAGCAGGGAGCGGACCGTTCTATAACGTCGCAAATACAATGTAGGTAGTTATAGTATACGTAACTGTTGTGCAATTGATGGCAGATGCCAATACCTGGCTTTATAGACGGCGACGTATGAATGCATCATTCACGTCGTATTTCAGATTCTTGTAAATTGTACGAATTGATGCGAAATCTTTCACAAGAGGAGAGAACCTTGAATATGATGGCATGTCTGCGATATCTTTATCCCACCATGCCAGCTTGAATGAATAGATATTGTTGATACGTATACGTAAGTCATATTTATGAAGTAATTCGCGACCTCTGTGGCTTCCTGTTTAATGAGTTCAAGTCAGCATTGCCGATCATGGGCCCGCCTTTTGTGTGTGAATGTGACCAGCTCTCCATGACCAGCCGGAGCCGGGGCGGGTTCCAGACCAGGCCCCAGGGTCACATTGGGGTCACGCCGGAGTGCGGTCGATACTCTGATCCAGCGGTGGACGGCATGCAACAGACCGCTGCAGTTGGCGGGGTTTACACTGCCGGCGCGACCGCCGCTCCCACTGCGCCGGACCGGGCAGGGTCGGGCGGTTCCATCCGCCGCTGACGATACATTCGCGAGTGCGACGAACAGTTCCGGCCCGGTGACCACTGCGATGGGCGTGGTACTCAGGGCGATGACCAATGGTACAGGTACACAGTTATTTGAAATATGCATCGTTATTTGAAGCGCTCTGGACCATCAACGCATCGTCGGTTGGTTAGCGGGGAACGGGCACGATTCATGTCCACGTGCGTTGGTGTTCAAATTTGTTCTGTCGACCGGCATGCAAAGATAAACGGTCTTTCAAAGTTGTTTTATAGTTGTGTCATTGTTTGAAGAAAACACTGCTCGTCCTTTGAAGATCCGGGGAGCATAAACTGGACTGTTCATGGCCGAGATTGTTCGTTATCAGCATTGGATGGAGAGGGTCAATTGAGTGGAGAGGAGAAGTTTCCGTCTGAGCTCTGTAAGCCGCCGAAGAAACTGACCGACTCGACTGGATTATCAGAAACTGCGCCTCGGACTCAGCTTGGCACACTGGCGGATCCAGACTTGCGTTTTGGGGGGGGGGGCCAACTCATGCAGGAGCCAAACCTAGGGTACCCCCAAATCCTGTTTTCTCATCGGATTTAGGCCACTTATTTTTCGTCACAGCCCTGACACTATGAATATTTTTTTTAACTAAAAATAAAAATATATAAATGGTAGCCCACCCGACCCATGCCTTTATATTACTTTGTAAACACTTACTATTGCTTTTGTCGACCAGTTAACCCGCTTCGAGTCAGTGCTTGGGTCCCTTTGCGGGCCGGGAGGTGGTAAAACGGGAGGTGGTCTAACTCGGCTCCTGGGCCAGGCACTGATTGAACTGTGCTTCATTATCGCTTGGGGGAGGGGGCAAACGGGCCACTTTAGGCCTCTGGGAAGGTGGCATGGCCCTAAATGCCCCCTCCCTGGATCCGCCAGTGTAAGAGACCATTGGAGCTGCAGTTGAGTACCTCAGACGTCAGGGTACGTCCTCAGATGTATAGGACTCGCATGGAGACCTCTTATGCTATAGTGGACTGAAAGGACCCAAAGGAGCCTGTCTAGGGCTCCCGGAGATAGACGTGGGCCCTCAGGAGCCCGCTAGAGCCCCCAATGAGGGATAAGTGAGGGATACCAAGTGCCTGCAATTGCATATTGCATAAGCCATAACGCCATTACAAATCAATATAATATGTACCAGTGGCAGATCCAAGGGGGGCCACATGGGTCATGACCCCCCTTGGTGCCCGGGGGCACCACAGGCCTGTCAGGGGCACCACCGGCCTAGCAGGGGCACTACCAGCCCGCCAGGGGCACCACAGGCCTAACAAGGGCACCACGGGCCTGTGAGGGGCCCCACAGGCTAGGCTTGTCAGGGGCACCCCAGGTCTGTCAGGGACACCAGAGACCTGCCAGGGGCGCCGCCGGCCTCACAGGGGCACCATGGGCCTGTCAGG